AGAGCAGCCAACCAAAAGTGCTCCTTCCAAAGCTGCTTACCTTCAGAAAGAGACGATTGAGTTCTCATGGGTTCCTTGCCTGTAACACAGAGGTACACATTCTGCTGCCCAATATGCTTTGTATACCCCATGCTTCTCTTTCTTTTATGAACTTTTCTCCTAATGGAGTTACAATTCCTTAAAGAAGATATAAACTTCTCCCCAAAAATCTTACATCTGCTACTTAGTGACAGGCTGGTGCTCCAGGCAGGAGACCATTTTAATTATTTATAATTAAATTAATTGAAATTAAGCCCTCTATTTTTAAAGCAAAATAATCCTGAATTGTGCATCCATGACATCCTCTTAGTATCCATGATCATTTTCAAGTACTGAAGATTTGTGGTATTGGAACTCTGCAGAGACAAAAAGACACACACAGATTTATTATTATTGATTAACTGAGGACATCTGCAGTGCAAAATCCTATCTGTGAAGGAACTGGCTAAGGTATGAAGAACCTTATAACAGCTACCTAGGATTTTATATCATTTTCTTATTCATTCATTCATTCATTTTTTGTTAAGGATAAAACTGATCTTACACTGAGTTTTAAGGAATTGTACTGCCATAGTAACATCACATGCAATTTTGAGATACTGATTTTATATGATGAAGGCATCGAAATAGGCAAAGAATTGCTTTACTTTGACTCGGCATGCATTCAGAATTCTTGAGCTCTAGCTCTTTTGTTCCTGTTGTCATGTGCCTTCAAGTATGTCTTGCCTAAGTTTTCCATGAAATTGAACAGGGATTTGAACTGTGATCTCCCAGAATTGTAGTACAACTCAAACTACTACACTATTCTGGCTCTCATTCATAGGGTAGATTGAAGTTGCCTTCATGGCAGTTACCAACAATGAATTTAGAGCTTCATTCAGACAGCTCCTCTCAACTATTAATACCTGGGATGAGATGCAAATATGGCACTTAACATGGAATCACAGCATGATTTGTTTATCATGTCAGAAACAAATTGAAGGTATAATTGTAATGCATTTAAAAACACAAAAAGTTAAAAACTTGACATTATAGTAAATGTCCTTTGTCCAGAAGCTGGCCACTTGGAGTGCTTTTGGTATTGCTGTTCCATACTGGGCACTATAACTAAAAAGACTCAAGTTCTGAAATCTAGGGTATTGTAGTGAATCTACTTTAGTTAGGCTTGTTTTAGGCCTAGAAGAAATTGTAGGCTCCAAAGACGGCAGCCATCTTAGAGAGATGTGCCTGGGGACCCCATTTTGTTGGCTCATTTTCCTGGAGGAGGCGTGTGTATTTAAATCAGCCTTTGGAGGGAAAATGAGAGAGGGATTTGATTGGCCAAGTCAGAGGAGGTGGAGTCTGGCTTGCCAGAGGAAAAAACTTTATTTCTGTAACAGCCAAGATATTAACTGCAATTGTTCCTGTTCTAAATAATAAACTTTGTTGGTTATTATTCATCATAACCTGACTCAAGAGTGCCTCATTGTTTGAAGATTCCCAAAGTAACTTTAAGCAGCTTTAAAGAAATAGCCTTTAAAAAGGGAACGTCAGTAACAGAAGGCTTAGGGCCAGCACAATCACACTCTTTCACCACATACAAGCCAAGGGCTCAACAGAAGGGTGTATGCTGGGGAACTTTCAAAAGGGTGTTGTATTTCAGCCAGGCAGTTAGTTGCCAGTTTTCTTTATATCATAATCAGTCTTTTGGATTTTTGGGGCTTATAAATATATAAAGTTCCCTACTTCTCTACAGGTATCATCTCATTTTAGGAAAGAACATGGAGCAGCATGTTCTCACAAAAGATCCTAGCAATAGGTCTGTAGACATGCATGATCTCTGAACTATCCCCTGCCTGCAAAGTCCTAGAGACAAGGTTGCCCATGTAACAACCACCTCCTCCTGTCACACATGTGCAATGAACACCTAGAGAAAGGAGCAGCAGAAACACATGCTTGGAGATACCTATTTTGTGCCAGAATGTTTTTAGGATGCACTTCTAAATAGGTATTCAACTGAATACCTGGAGCCCCCGGTGGCGCAAAGAGTTAAACCCTTATGGCAGCCAGACTGCTGGCTGATAGGTTAGTGGTTAAAATGTGGGGAGAGCATGTTGAGTGCCCTCTGTCAGCTCCAGCTCCCCATGTGGGGATATGAGAGAAGCCTCCCACAAGGGTGGTAAAAAGCATCGAGCATCCAAGCATCCCCTGGGCAACCTCCTTGCAGACGGCCAATTCTCACACAGCAGAAGTGACTTGCAGTTTCCCAAGTCGCTCCTGGCATGAAGAAAAAACTGAATACCTATCCATATATTCAGTTGTTTGCATAGAGCAAACTTTTTCATCAGTGCAACTGAACAGTGGAACAGTCATGCCCCCCTCTCCCACCCATTCATTCTGGGGAATAAATGAAAAATAGTGGATTGTTGTCTCTTTTTTCCTCTGTTACACTCACCAGTTTCATTTTCCTCACCGCACACACACACACACACACACACACCCTTCTCTCTCTGCTGTCTCTTCTCCTGAATTTAAAATCCATAGAGAACAGAGGCCTTTTTTCTGTCACTTTGTCATGTGCCATTAATAGAAATAGAAACAAGTAGGGAGTAATGACATTTCAAATAATCCAACGAGATTCTAGTATTCTTTTCTTTCTAGGTACAGCTTTGCCACTGTGGGGATGTGTCCATAAGCCATGTGTTTATCTCTCCTCTGCAATTAAAAATATTAATAAGAATTTGATTTAGCTGAAAGTCAGCCAGAATCCTGCCCTCTCTTTCTCTCTTCCTCATCACAGAACGTTGATCTCTTTCTCCCTTTCATATAAAGTTCTATTAAGGAATCGTTGTGGCAGCATTTTTTAAATTAAAAAAACACACAAAGTGAGATTTAGCTTTTGTTTGTCTCTTTAAAGCTCCAAATCCAGTTTGCTGTTGCTTTTTAATTCTCCAGACTATCTAATCACTAAGCAAGCAGTTTTCCACAAAACATCCAAAAGCGTCTGTTCCCCCTCCCCTCCTTTCTTTTTTTCAGCATGCCAGCAATTTAGAGCTCCATTCTCTTGTGGGCCCATCATGGGCATGTGGGCAAGTGATCTAAAAAAACCCTCATTATTTCTGACCACACTCTCTATGTTTATTATGGCTGGGGACCAGCAAATTACTCACAACAAAGGCTTTAATGCTCCAAATAAATTCACTCCTTAAGGATTAAAGTCAGGATCGCTAATGCAATTTTTATCCTCCTTTGATATAGCTTGCTATTGATGTGGGCTGAAGCAGGAGCACAACCAACAAGGTTAAGTCTTGAGGATGTTTAAACTGAGGTTCTGGAAAGGACAGCAGCCCTGTGTTGGGATGATCAGCCAAAAGATCAGCAAAGAAGTGAGAGATCAGGAACATTTCTCCTTTTCCCCCTTGCATCTTTGATGCCCGCTGGATAGGAAGCCATCTCTGTCCCACACTTGTTCCTCTCCTGTCGATTAGCATAACTCTGACACTTCAGACACTTGAGACAAATTATCCAAGCCACCAGGCAAGGAAGAAAGTCAGCTGCTGTGACTGACACACTTTGCAGTCTGGGGTCTGGCTTGTGTAGGTTCGAAGTTTGCTTATGAAAAATTGGCCAAGTCTACTGATAGATGAAAAGATAGGAGACTCCTGCTTTTATCAGGAGCCATTTCTTTTCAAAGGTTAGCCTTTGAAATCCAATTCCCTAGGTGCCCCCGTTCCACTTTTTCTTGTTGTAAACAACCTAGGAGGTATCCCTCTTTCTCCCATTCTCCAGGTGTGTGTGAGTTATGCATGCATGCACGCATATGTGAGTGCGTATGTAGGGATGGGGGAGTATGTGTGTGTGCACATTTGGCACACCCCTCTCTCTTTTTCTCAGTTTCACTGTAACACCCATGTGTACTTAGGCATTGTGTGTTTTGGTGTGTTTGTATGTTAGAGAGGAAGAGAATTCAGAACCAACCATTACGTTTGCGCTTTATGCTCCTTCTTTGGAGTCCGTTTTGTGTTCATATGCGTTTTTAAACTTGCAAAATATTTTTGGGGGGAAAAGAGAAAGAAATGTGGTTCCAAAATAGTCTTTTCTTTTCTGCCTTCCTTGCAGACCTTTCCCTTCTCCACCCTTTGCAGGCAAGATCCCAAGGAGATTGGTGCTTCTTCCATCCACTCATCCATCCACCCCTTATTTCCTTCCTTCCATCCTTCCATCCATCCACCCTTCCCCTTCCTTCCATCCACCCACCCACCTACCCTTCCTTCCATCTCTTCCTTCTTTCCTTCTTTCCTTCCATCCATCCATCCATCCATCCAACCAACCACCCCTTCCTTCTTTCCTTCTTTCCTTTCATCCACTCCTTCCTTCTTTCCTTGCATCCACCTATCTCCCCAACCCTCCCTTCCTTCCTTCCATCCATCATCTATCCATCCTCCCCCTTCCTTCCTTCCCCTTCCTCTTCTCCTCCTTCCCCCCTCTTTCTTCCCTCCTTCCTTTCCCTTTCTCCCTCCTCTCCCCTTTCTCTCCTTCTCCTCCCTCTTCCTTCTTCCCCTTCCTTCCTTTCCCTTTCCTTCTTCTTCCTTCCTTCCTCCTTCCTTCCTTCCTTCCTTCCTCGCCTCCCCACCTTCTTTTCCTTCCTCCCACCCTCCCTTTCTTCCTTCCTTTCCCACCTTCCCTTCCCAGGTGACGCCCCGGAGCGTGAGTCCTACTCTGAAGGCGCCTTTCCTTCCTGGCGCTTAAGCAGCGATGCGTCGGGCAACCGGTTGAGTCGGAAGCTTCCTCGCCAGGCTTTTGGTCCTAGCGGTTGGGAGGGAGGGAGGGAGGGAGGGAGGGAGGGAGAGAGAGAGAGAGAGAGAGAGAGAGAGAGAGAGAGAGAGAGAGAGAGAGAGAGGTGTGACCGGCGGAGGGAAGGCGGGAGAAGCGAGGCGAGAGGCGGGGGCAGAGAGGAAGAGGAGGAGGAGGGGGGGGGAGCGGGCGAAGCGGTGGCGGCGGCGGCGCCTGGCGCCTATAAGGAGGGAGCTGTCCAGCGCGGCTCTTGCTGAATCCCGAGCGCGGCAGGCGGAGCGGTGGATGCTGCCAGGACCCGGCGGGTGGATGTGGGCGCCTTTCCCGCTGCTTAGAGGAAGAGGAGGAGGAGGAGGAGGAGGCGGCTTGAGCCAAGCAGGGTCTTCTCTTCTCCCCTTGCCTCCCGCCTCAAGAGCGCTTGGATGCCGGGTGGAGTAGATGCGCGCAGGGAAGGCAGGGCTGCCCCAGTCTGAGCTCGGGAGATGAGGGGCCGGCAGGGACGCGCTCAGAGGATGGAGCCTTTGCCCCGACTCTTCGGCCTCTCGACTTTCCTCCTGGTCGGCTTCTGCCGCCTTGGATTAGCAGCTTCCAACTGTAAGTATTTGCATAGCCCTAGCAACGACCTTCTGGCACGTCTTTGGTGTTGTGGGAACACCCCCCCCCTTTTCTGCAAGGGTTCTCCAATAAAGTTAGATTAAGCCAGCATGGAACTTGAGCGGAGGATGGTCTTTTCCCTCCTCTCCTAAATCGAAGTCCCTGGACGGAGGGGTGCTTCCATAACACTCTTGCCGCTGAGGATCTCAAGGAAATGCCTTCAGTCTCTTGGAGGTGGCAGAGCCTGGAGCTGAAGCCTTGCTTTTCCCAATCTGGATCTCACACACTCACACACAGATTGCCTTTCTTGCCTTCCACTGTTTTGGGATGGATTCTGCCTCCTCCCTGATGTCTCTGGAATTCTGGTCTTCGGCTGTTGTGGTTTGAAACAGTTTCAGAACCACCCAAATACCAACTCTGCTTGCTTTAGCCCTGGTGTGGCTAGGATGAGTTGCATGTAAGGGAGGTAGGAAGGAAGATCACAGAAAGAGCATGACATCTAGACTGGAAGCCCATGTGAAGGAGTGGGAGGAAGTCCTTAGCAGGGAAGGTTTGTTTGTTTTTGAGAGCAGGGATCCAAACTGACTGTGTAGTACTGCTCTGTTAATAGTTGCACCATCACCAACACCTTCCTACCTCTCCCTCTTTCCTAAGCCATCATCTGCATGCCTTGGATCACTCTCTTCCTTTGATGAGAACATCCTCCCACCCTGGATTCTCTGTCCTCCCCATGCACTCTCCTCCCTTGATGTATTGCAGGCATGCCCTTCCAAATGCTCTTCCAGTTGTGTTACATATTGCTAGGTCATTATCAGTTTGTGGAGTATAATGTCATGGCAGGGAAGAACAGAAAGCCGGGCAGAAATGCACCTTTTTGTGTCACCCATGGAACTGTTGTGGCTGTGGCAACATTGTGGACCTCAATGTGTTGTGGTCAGCACCATTCCTGCAAGTTGCTTCTGGTGTGAGAGAATTGGCCACCTGCAAGGACATTGCCCAGGGGACGCCCAGATGTTTTGAGGTTTTTACCATCTTGTGGGAGGCTTCTCTCATGTCCCTGCATGAGGAACTGGAGCTGACAGAGGGATCTCATCCAATTTCTGAAGTTGCTCATGACCCACACACAAAAGCACCATTACTTGCACCCAAAGCTATGTGGGACCCCATTCACCTTAAGTCTTCCTAGAATTGCAGAGTCAAAGTGTGGAAGATTTCTTTGGTTTGAGAAAATATAGGGTTTGGAGGGAACACACAACAGGGAAATTAGGAAGTGTGAAACAGTGCTGAAAACTCAGAAATGCATGCAGAATGGGAAAAAATCCCATTAGATTTGAGCTTCTGACTCCCTTCCACTTCAGAAGTGACAGAGGTCATGACTGTTCACTGACGTACAGTAAATCCAATTCACAGTACTGTTGGAATTGGATAGTGGAAACTGTTCTTCAAGAGGTGGGTTTTGGTAGATTTTAATGTGGCTCACCTATACCTTCCTTATAACTGTAGTTCAAGCCGGTTAAAAGTAGTAAGGATATTTATAAAATACATCGTATTCTTCAGATTAGCAGTTTCTTCCTTGTGTTTGAGTGGCATTCTGAACACTAGAGGTCACTCTTGCCTTTGTGATTCGACTTCTTTCAGGCAGGGCAGGAGCACAAACCTGAATATTTTGCCTACAGAGCTGAAGTAATAGAATTCGTTGGATAAATAAAGACTAGCAAATGCAATAAGTATCCTGAATGGGTAACAACACTCTATGTGGGTGCAATTTCATGTTTGATTTTAATGAATAAAAATACTAAGCAGAGGAAACTTTTTTTCCTGGTTCCAATAATATAAGAGTTAATATGGTTTAATAATGTTCAGGAATGCTAAATGGAAAGCAGTTGAACCCAAAAGGCTTGCTATTACCAGTCTGGTAATAAAGATAATTTGTATCTTTTTAAAAGAGTACTCTGCACTAATGAGTTTTACTATTTCATGGGTGATGCTTTAATTTCCCAGTGCCGATACACACTCCTATTGAACGCACAAATCGCTCCCTAAATATTTGGGACTTAGTCTTTATAAAGCACAATAATCAATCTTTTTATTACACTGTACCATTTTCACTTATTAATTAAGCAATGAATTAGCTTGCATGCACTCTCCCAGGAGCTCAGTTAAACATTCTGCCAAGAAATAGCACCATTTATACGCTCCCCACTCCCCAGTTTTTCAAACTCTTTACAATGATTTGTGCTTGAGACAGGGCAATATTTTTTTTTTTACTTTTGGATAATTTTCAATAAAACAGGCCAGTATGTTGTTGAAAATCTAGAGCTGATATAAAATAGTTAGCTCCTATTTCAATTAAATTTGAACAATAATCACCTCCGCCTCCTCATGCTCCAATTATCATCCTTTGTCATCTTCCTTGATAAATTCAAACCAATTCATCATTAGGAATAATTCATTTGAATGGTTAAGAGTATAGGTGAGTAATACACAATGACTACATTACTTTCACTTCTTCCAATGCTGGTTTTTCAACATGCAAAAAACATTACTCTGACGTGAATAGCTTAGTAACCTTACAGTGAATCCTACACATATTTACTTTGCAGTAAATCCCAGTGAGTTCAATGGGACTTGTTCCCAAGTAAATATGCATATGAATGCAGACATTAATGGTGCAGCTGATTTTTTAAAGCAAAACAGAAGATGTGAAATGTGTGAATCTATAACCAAACTTCCATACCAAATGTAGCTAGCTATAGCTTCCAGTTTGTGCTGTGTAGATTTTTTTTCCATGTCAGGAGTGACTTGAGAAACTGCAAGTCACTTTCGATGTGAGAGATTGGTCGCCTGCAAGAACATTGCCCAGGGGATACCCGGATGTTGTTGATGTTTTACCATCCTTGTCAGAGGCTTCTCTCATTTCCCCACATGGGAAGCTGGAGCTGACAGAGGAAGCTCATCCATGCTCTTCCCAGACGCGAACCTCCAACCTTTCAGTCTTCAGTCCTGTCAGCACAAGGGTTTAACCCACTGCACCACTGGGGGTTCTGTAGATGGCAGGTGCTTTGGATTTCATTTCAGCTACACAGCTCTCACCATGTCATAGGATGACAGCAATATCCATGGAACAAAACACTGCTTTTTAAAAATGCTGCATACATTGTAGTATATTCATACATAATATATTCCCCATCTAGAATGCTACCTTCTTTGGTCTGTCTCCTACCTGTCTGTTGGTTATCATATTAGTTTAGAACAGTAGTTGAAAAAGTGACTCAATGGCAAGCGATGGAAATCAAACTTTCTTGAAGGGAAACTGAGCTGTTGGCAAGACATGGAAAAAATGAAGGATGTTAGATTTGAAAGGGATGAGAGAAAAGGGTCACCTACTGCTCACCTCTGTACTAAGGTGGGATTTACTGGACTCCTTGCAGATTAGCCTCATGTCAGTTTGGATCATACTGTGTAGTCATTGAGGAATTTGATGCCAGATGTTCTTGAAGCGCAAGGAACAACCCTGGCAAAGATGCTGTGGACAAGTTTTCCTAATCTATTGCTTCATAGACTGGCATTTAGCAAATTTAAATCCAAATATCTGTTTCCTTCCCACTTGATAACACAAGCAGTATTGTCTGGATTCTTTATTTTTGACACTGAATCATAATAAGATGTGTTTGATGGTTTCTGTTCTTGATTAGTGTACCACATGATTAGTAAGAAAATGTCTCACAAAACATTATAATCTTGGCTACAGGATATTGGGGAAGGGGAGGTGTCAATGGATATTCTTTCTGACATTAAAGTTACTTCTTTATAATGTCATTACAGAAAAACCCCAGGCTTGTTTCATCACAGCACTTTATTAGATTAAATAACTACAGTGGCAATGAGATTTCTCCCCAGGATACTAATTACTGGGAAATGGAAACGATAGACACACTTGCATTGCTGAATGCCATATCTCATATGTAAAGGGCAACATGTTTATGTACATATGTTATGATGATATCATGATAAGTCTGAAAGAAGAGCCCTCTGTTTCAGCTGTCGGCTGTCTTGTGAATTGTAAGGTTGGGTTATAGTGCACTGGGCCAACTATAACATATCAGAGACGTGTAACACTTCTATTGGGAGCAGTAAAAAATTGCAAAAGTTGCAAAAGTGGCACATAATAATAAATATTAATAATAAATTGGAAGGGAAATGTTCAAATTGTGAAATACTTTTAAGTAGTTGAGAAACTTGAGTCAAAACCCACAGAAGCATATGGTCCCTTTGCCATGCATATATGAATTTCCCCCCATTATAATTCCCTTGGAGATAGTCCCATTCAACTCTGGGTCCTGGAGAAATGTGGATTATAAATATATACATAAAATATTAGGCCTTCTAAATTCTTTTTGAGAATCCCTTGGAGACACTTTTGGCAACCAGAAAATCCAAACCTTCTGCATCCCACATTGGGCCCTTCTACCCAGCCATATAACCCAGAATATTAAGGCAGATAATCCACAATATCTGCTTTGAACTGGGTTAACTGAGTCCACACTGCCATATAATCCAATTCAATGTGAATGGTATACAGCTGTGTGGAAGGGATCATTGAAGCTCTTTGCACATTAATACTGTTTAGATCCAAGCCAGTATGTTAAGAGATTGAGAAACTGATGTGTTTCTATTTAGGTTGTGTGCTTTAAAATGGGAACGATGTAAAGGTATCAGGAGAACAATGGTTATTCTAAAATGAGAACACATTGAAGGACATTACAACAGTATGCCTGTTTATTAAAACCTACAAATTTTACCAGTTATTACTGATGAAATGGAATAGATGCTTGAAAAGGGTAGGAAACTAATGCAAATTTCAAAAACTACATTAGATATATAGCAAGAAATAATTTGGGGAGGGACCATTTGTTAAGTTTTTTCCTGTTGTTCTCTAGGCTTAGCAAAAAGAGTTGGTTAGAGAACTATAATCTGGTATTAGGTATATAAAACTCCAA